GAGTGACTATAGGTTTTTCTTGATTATTTCCTACCATTTCTTTTTCTTACCTCAGATCCCATCAACCCCATTTCATATTCAGACTGAAATTGCTTTTTAACCCATGCAATCCATGAGGATGGTGATAATCATCATCATCATGGTGCAAAAATTTTACATGTTTTGAGTGAGCTTCTGCTCATGTACACATTCTGTATGTGATTCATTTTGATTAGTAAAATACAATTTTTGGTCCTATTCCATACATCAAATTCAGAAGCTTAGAGCATTTCATTTTTATTTTGTATATTCTTTCCCATTTTTTTTAGTTTAACAAAACCAAATTACCTTCCTTCCTTCCCATTCATTAATCCATGTGGCTTACTATTTAAAGTCACAATATGAATTGGAAATCTTCCATATTTCATGAGTACACCCAGGGGTGGGATTCAGCCAGTTTGCATCACTTTGGGAGAACCAGTTGTTAACTTTCTGAGCAGTTTGGTGAACTGGTTGTTGGAAGAAATCATTAGGGCAGAGAACCGGTTGTTAAATTATTTGAATCCCACCACAGAGTAACACCAGATAGGACCCTAGATGATCCATAGATGGAAGATGACTTCCAATACATCATTGCCTTGATGAATCAAGATTTTCACATTACACTTTTTAATCAGAAAAGCAAGTCCAGATCATCACCCTTATTTCAACCATACAGACCGAGTCCTTGCATGCTTAATGGTGAGGACAGGACTGCTAATCTAGAGACTACCTTGCAATATGCAGTTTTAGAGACTAAGACTAATGCAAAACAGTTTCTCTTTTGTTCCAACAGGAGTATCTGCAGCCTGAGAAGGAAGAGAAAAGACTGGAGCATTATGGATACGACATCCCCCTCTCCTTTCATTGTCTCAACACAAATCATTGCAACATCCGCTGGCAAAAACAGAACCTGCTATGATTCCGGCATAAAGGAAGAAGTGCTTGTTTATGCAATCTTCACTATACTTTTTTGTGTATTGGGAATGTTGGGCAATGGCCTTGTGATCTGGTTGCTGGGCTCCTCCGTTAAGAGGAACACTTTTGCCATTTATATTATCAACCTCTCTGTTGCAGACTTTGGTTTTCTCACCTTTGAGCTGATTATCGAAATCCACTGGCTTTTCACACATTTGTATTGTGACTTTCCCTACGAACTCTTCCAAACAGGCCTGCTGTTAATGTACAGTACAGGGCAATTTTTCCTGACAGTCATCAGCATTGACAGGTGTGTTTCGGTCCTCTTCCCAATTTGGTATCGATGCCACCGGCCGGTGTATATGTTCACTGTTGTGTGTGTTGTCATCTGGGCCGTTTCCTTCATCCTCTCTTCAATTCATTTCACAATTATAGCAGTGGA